CCCCCCCCCCCCCCCCCCCCGTGACAGATTTACCTGCGATGCCAACCTCAGCTGTTCCTGCCAGGCACAGATCCTCAAAACGAGTCGGATCGAGCTGGTAAACCTGAGAGGCTTTGGCATTGGGCCGCATCCCGCAGCCTTCCTGTAAAAACAGCACATTGACAATATCAAAGCCCCACGTTTAACAAACAGGGGTCAAGGATTTACGATTGATCGGCAAGAGAATTGTTGGGAAACGCAGAGAAATTCCTTCAGGCGGGGCATGGCTGGGATCTGAAAGGGGAGTGGAAACAGAGCCGGAAGGTAGTTTACAAAGTCACGTTCCGTGTGGAGGGTGAACTTGCAGAGGTCTGGGGGATAAGGTTAGGGTGTGAGACAGTTCCTTCAAGGAGCTGGCCCGGTTACGATGGGCTGAATGGCCTGCTTCTGCAAGTTTCCATCATTCTAAGTGTGTACTGCAGAGGTGACTGGATCGATCGCCAATGCAGAGGCATTTGTTATACAGCCAAGTCCCTCAGGAATCTGCTCCATATCACCCAATTCCACTTGTATTTATAGGGCCTTGGGTAGTGTTGCAGAACATAGAGACCTAAGGGTTCAGATACATAATTCTTTGAAGTTTGCGTCACAGTAGACAGGGTGATTAAGGCAGCATTTAGCACGTTTGTCTTCATTACTCAGAGGTCTGAGTATAGGAGTTGGGACATCATGTTGAGGCTGTACAGGACATTGGAGGGGCCTCTTCTGGAGCACTGTGTCCAATTCTGGTCACCCTGCTATAGGAAGGATATTATTAAACTGGAGAGGGTTCAGAAGAGATTTACCAGAATGTTGCTGGGAATGGAGGGCTCGAGTTATAAGAGGAGGCTGGGACTTTTTTTTTTCACTGGAGTGTAGCAGATTGAGGGGTAACCTTATAGAGGTTTATAAAATCATGAGGGGTATGGATAAGGTGAATGGCAGGTGTCTTTTCCCCAGGGTGTGGGATTTCAAGACCAGGGGGCGTATTTTTAAGGTGAGAGAAGAAAGATTTAAAAAAGACAAGGGGCATTTATTGAACACAGAAGGTGGTTCGTGTGTGCAATGAACTTCCAGAGGAAGTGGTGGATGTGGATTTAGTTACAACATTTGGACAGGTACACGAATAAGAAATGTTTTCTTTGGATACGGGCCAGGAGCAGGCAGGTGGGACTGGTCCACTTTGCGATTATGTTCAGCCTGGACCAAAGGGTTTGTTTTTGTGCTGCGTGACTCTATAACTATGACTCTATATAGCACCTCTCGTAACCTCAGGAAGACCCAAAGTGCTTTCTAAAACATCTTTCACAAGGAATGGGTGTTGTTACTCTGCTGTCACTCGTTCTCCATCCCTAATCACTCGTTCTCCATCCCTAATCACTCGTTGAACTGTCTACCACACAAGACCATTTCAGAGGGCAGGTAGGGGCCATTTCAGAGCATCTGGAGCCACTGAATTATAGGACTTAGGAACGGGAGAAGGCTATTCAGTCCTTTAAATCTGCTCCACCATCGAATAAGATCATGGGTTATCCGAGACGAAAACATAAATTGCTGGAGAAACTCAGCAGTTCTGGCAGCATCTGGCAAGAAGGAGAGAAAAACAGAGTTAACATTTCTTCACTGGACTCGAAATATTAACTCCGCTCTCTCTCGCTCTCTCTTCCCACAGAAGCTGCCAGCCCTGCTGAGTTTCTCCAGCCATTTCTGTTTCTGTTTCTGTTTCTGATTCCTAGTATCTACAGTTCCTCGATTTATTTCAGTGACTTATCCGGTTGTGGTCACTTTCCTTTCTGTGACCCTCAATAGCCCTCGATTCCCATGTCGGTCAAAAATCTATCTAACTCAGCCTTGATTGCATTCATTGACACAGCCTCCACTGAGAAGAGAACTCCACAGATTAATGAGCCTCGGAGGATAAATTTCGCCTCACCCCTGTCTAAAAAAGGAAGATCCTGTATTCTTTAATTATGTCCCTGGTTCTAATCGCCACCCACAAAAGGAACATCCTTTTACGGGTACACGAATAGGAAAGGTTTAGCGGGATGTGGGTCGAGTGTGGGCAAACAGGACTAGTTTAGTTTGGGGAACCTGGTCGGCATAGACAAGTTGGACCGAAGGTCTGTTTCTGTGCTGTTTGACTCAATATCAGCCCAGTCTTCGTCCCAGGAACAAAAGCAGTGAACTTCTCAAAACTGTTTCTAAAGCAGTGATTTCTTTTTACCAGAAAAAGACAGCAAAACTTGGCACAGTGCTCCAGATCTGGTCTCAACAAGACTTTGGATGGATACAGAAAGCTTCCTGACTTTTATATTCCATCCCCCTCACAGTAGGCATCGATATTCCATTTACCTTCCTAATGACTTGCTGCAGCTGCACACTAACTTTACAGGGATCATGTAGCCACACAGGCAGCGTGGGGAGAGTGTGGAGCTCAGTACTAATAGCTTCATAAACACAGGAGGGAGTAAGAAATAAAATGATACACCAATGGGGTGTAACAATGCTGTCACTTTGAGGTTATATTGACTGGTTTTTTTTGAAGACAGGTTGTACGGCAGAGATGGAAGTCTGTCCCTAAGAAAGTAAATAATTTATGAGGCCTTGGGTTTTTTTTTAAAAAAAAGTTGGAACAATGGACGCAGCCTGGGAGCGGCCAGCTCTCCCAGACCAGGCTTTCTCGTTTCTGGGTTTAACTTTAATCAGAAGCCTTTGTGGTCTCAACAGAGTTGGAAGCTTCAGTGAATGTCCCATAGCTGCTATTCTCTCTGAATCTTCTCTTGATATTATTTTCCTCCCGGATTGGAGAACTGCATGTGAGAATCTGTTCTGAGGAAGGGTCACTGGAACCGAATGTGAACTGACTTTTTTCTTCACAGATGCTGCCAGACCTGCTGAGCTTTTCCAGCAACATCTGTTTTTGTTCCTGATTTACAGCATCCGCAGTTCTTTTGGGTTTTATTGCGAGAATCTGTGTCTGACTTGCCTTTTTGCCAAGGGGTGTGTTTACAGGATGTTACTATATTGAAACGGTTCATTAGTAATAGGTACTGTATCTATTATTCAGTTAAGCTTTCCAATAGTTAACTTGTTCTAAATTTCTCTTGCTTTTGCTTGTATTTTAATTATAGCATTTAAATAAATTATGTTTTGCATAACGTTGAGTAGTTTGATCAGTCGCATTGCATCTGGAACACGGCACTTCACATCTACCTTTAAGATAAGAAAAAGTTAGGGCCCAGGCTACCTTCTTAAATTATTTTAAGAGGATCTGGTCTGGTCCATAACACTGATGGGATGAGATGTGACAGGGAAGGACGATGCTTGCGCGGGGCACGAACATCAGCGCGGACACGATGGGCCGAACAGCCTGTCCCCATGCTGCAGACGCTATAGAATTTTGTACTTACAAACACAGCGCCTCTCAGCATATCTGGCACAGTTACTGGCGTGAAGCCCTGAGGGAGAGGAAACCACAAAGACATGAGAAAAACACCGAATCCATCTGTCAGCACAATTAAAGAACCCATGATGGAATTGCTAATTACAGTAAAGTTCTGTCACACATTAATAATTGCAACAGCAATCATTCATGCTTTGTGTAATCACATTTTCTGTCTAATCCCCAAGATGTAGATGACAAAGACTGCGTTACGTTGCAAAGATTTTAAACGGTTGGGCACAGTTACTTTCGAAAACCGGCTTGGAAATCGGAAATATAATTCCTTCCAACTTTCCTCTAACTATTTCGCGATTGTCGACAATGTTCTGTGTCTCACACTGCAATGGGTTAGCGCGTGACTCCAGGGCGCAACCACGTCGGTGGTCCCGTTTCAGGCTTCCCCCCACCCCCTTTTCGAGGTTCGCCGTGTCAAGCCGTCCCGCTCTCCTGTCCGACATCCGGCCACCTCGACCGCTGTCACCGAAAAAAAAAAAAGGCCGTCGCTGCGCACGGGATCTTTCTGTGCGTGACGTGGCTGCCGCCTCACCCTCCCCCCACCGCGACGCATACGGTATTGCGCGCAGAGGGCTTCGATTGAGGTGAGCGAGGCTAGGCAGAAGCTGGCATCTACATAGCGCCTTACGGGGACTGGAAGCAGGCATAAAGAATCCCACGGCACCATTTGGCAAAACATAAAGTGCCTCTCAGTGTGTGATGGCTTTTCATAAATTCTTCCGTGGGCATCGCTGGCAAGGCCAGTATTTGTTGCCCGTTGCTAATTCCTCCCGGAGCGGAGTGGTTTGCCCAGCCGTTTCAGAGGGCAATAAAAAGTCAACCGCATCGCTGTGGGTCTGGAGTCACATGTAGGCCAGACCGGGTAAGGATGGCAGATTTGCTTCCTTTGAGGACTTTAGTGACCTAGATTAACACTGATTAACAGCAGTGACATGGTCACCGTCACTGATACTAATTTCCACTTCCAAGTTTAGGAACTGAATTTGCAGGAAACTTTTTATTAACCGGCACCAGGAGTGCGTCGGTTAATCAAATATTCCGGTTGATCGATGTAAAAATGTATGATAAGTAATAGAAACATAATGCAGGGGGTATATGCATTACTGTTACACTTCACTTACAGCATAAATCACTTAAATTATAATACAACTTACCTTTAAATAAAACATACCAGCAGACAGCTTCTCACTCGCACAATCAACAGACTAACTAGAAATTGCAGAGATTGCAATAATACAGTAAACTTCCAGTATTTCAGGTACACAATTTTCATCAGGTTATCGAAAAAGCCAGTTCACCAGGTTCCGGTTAAAACACGGTGTCTCAGAGGTTAGCACTGATCAGAGAATCCCTACAGTGTGGAAACAGGCCCTTCGGCCCAGCAAGTCCACGCGAACCTTCAGAACATCCCACCCAGACCCATCCCTGTAACCCACCTAATCGACACATCCCTGGGCACTATGGGTAATTTAGCATGGCCAATCCACCCTAGCCTACGCATGTTTGGACTGTGGGAGGAAACCAGGTTCCTGGAGCTGTGAGGCAGCAGTGCTAATCACTAAGCCACCGTTCCTCACAGCGCCAGGGACCCAGGTTCGATTCTACCCTCGGGCGACCGTGGAGTTTGCACATTCTCCCCGTGTCTGCGTGGGTTTCCTCCGGGTGCTCCGGTTTCCTCCCACAGTCCAAAGATGTGTAGGTTAGGGTGGATTGGCCGTGCTAAATTGCCCCGTAGTGTCCAGGGATGTGCAGGCTGGGTGGGTTAGTCATGGGAAATGCAGAGTTATAGGATAGAGGGCGTGGGGTGGGACTGGGCAAGATGCTCTTTGGAAGGTCGCTGCAGACTCAATGGGCCGAATGGGCTGTTTCCACACTGTAGGGATTCAATGATCTATTTATGGTCTAAACTTTGCTGTAATTTCAACCAGCTGCCGCAGTGGGATTTAAACACACATCTTTACAGCATCATTCTGGGCCTCTGGAGTACTAGTGTGGTGACCATATAATGAAGCCACAATCATTCCAATTGCACCAACATTTATTCTTCAATAAAACAGCACGTCCCAGTTGGTGGGTGCTTCCTGTGTGCAAATTGGGCCCCACTACAACAGTGAACACAGGTTGAAAAGCTCTTCATTGGCGGTGACACAGATTAGGTTATGCTGAGGCTACAAAAGCTGCTACAGAAATCACACGATTGGAGAGATTTGTGGCACAGAACGAGGCTAATAGTCTTTCAGGTCCATACTGTCACTTTGAAAAAATGCCGTGTAATTTCAGAGTCTTGGGTCAAACTCCTGGAAAACCCTTCCTCGCAGCCCTACAGTGTCCCTACAACAGAAGGAATGCAGCGGTGTAAGGTGACAGCTCATCCCACCTTCTCCGAAACTGGGCAATAAACGCTGCCCTAGACAGCGAACCCCACATCCCATGAACGAATATTGTGGAAAAAAAAAGAGAAGACTCACTTTTCTATCCTGTAACCCTGTAAAATTTCTCAGATCTCAAGCACCTGCCCAATGACCTTTTCAAACAGTTACAGGATCAGCTTTCAGCAGCTTTAAATGCAAGGATTCTCCACTTGGTTCATAGTTCCTTGAAAGTGGAGTTGCAGGTAGACAGGGTGGTGAAGGAGGCATTTGGTACGCTTGCTTTTATTAGTCAATGCATTGAGTATAGGAGTTGGGAGGGTCATGTTGTGGCCGTACAGGACATTGGGTTCGGCCACTTTTGGAATACAGCGTTCAATTCTGGTCTCCCTGCTGTAGGAAGGATGTTATGAAACTTGAAAGGGTTCATAAAAGATTTACCAGGATGTTGCTAGGGTTGGAGGGTTGGGGCTACAAGGAGAGGGTGAATAGGCTGGGGCTATTTTCCCTGGAGCATTAGAGGCTGAGGGGTGACCTTATAGAGGTTTATAAAATCATGAGGGGCATGGTTAGGGTGAATACCCAAAGGTCTTTTCCTCAGGGTGGGGGAGTCCAAAACTAGAGGGGATAGGTTTAAGATGACAGGGGAAAGACTTAAAAGGGACCAAAGGGACAACTTTTTCACAGAGAGGGTGGTGAGTGTATAGAACGAGCTGCCAGAGGAAGTGGTGGAGGCTGGTACAATTACAACATTTAAAAAGGCATTTAGATAGGTAGATGAACAGGAAGGGTTTAAGAGGGATGAGGGCCAAATGATGGCAAGTGCAACTAGATTAATTTAGGATATCTGGTCGGCATGGACGAGTTAGACTGAAGGGTGTGTTTCCGTGCTGCATGACTGACTGTAACAAATTTCTGTTGGGAACAGGATGTGGACTGGGGAGGACACAGTCAGAAGTCGCACGACACCAGCTTATAGTCCAACAGGTTTATTTGAAATCACAAGCTTCCTGAGCGCTGCTGAAGCACTTCACATGATGAAGGAGCAGCGCTCCGAAAGCTTGTGATTTCAATGGACTATAACCTGGTGTCGTGTGATCGCTGACTTTGTTGGGATCAGGACTGTGCTGCTGTTGGGGAGGGGAATGTGGGATGCAGATGTACCAGGCATCACGGTAAAATATTCTATTGATGGTTACTGTGTGGGCTCACATAGAAAAGTGGACACCTGGTCATAGAACACAAGCGTGGCTAGTATCTAACAGAACTTTAACAGATGGGGAAGGGGTAGGTAGGCACGAATGTTGCAAAAGCTGTGTCAAGTGGGTGTGTGTTTGCGCAGGTTTCACTTGTGGTTAGTAACACCCAACACTGACAAGGAAAGGAATGTATATTTCATCCTGTATCGACATACGAGATAGATAAACTTCTTTCCACCTATGAAGAGCTGTTTTGTGGTCAGCTAGCTCCACTTATTCTTTGTGGAGTATTGAGACTGAATCCTCTGGGGAAACACACCCCAGCTCTCCTGCCTTTGCCAGATGAACAGGTGGTGGAATTGGGGTAAGGACAACCAAGTACCAAGACACTCAGGAGCACTAAGACTGCGAGGCCTCACCTTGTTGAGGAGCTTGCTCATTGTAAACTGGACCAAGGCGTGCTGCAGTTCACTGCCTGCTCCACGTAGGTAGTATGATCGATGGCCAGAAACATGAGCGAGTCGGCTAGTGAGGAAGAAAAGCAGACACGTTTATTTTAACACTTGAAATCAGCAATCATTTCACTTTAACCAATATTTACAGCTGCAACTGAGTGAAGGGGCTTAAGCATTATAATTGAGAAACTGTTTCCCCGACATGGGGGGTGCAGGGCAGATGCAAGACAGAGATGCAAGGGGCAGAGAGGGCATTGGAGATAGCAAAGAACAAGGGATACAGAGAGAGAGAGAGAGAGAACACAAGGGATACAGAG